CTAGTCATTTCAAGCTCAAAACCAAGACTCCAATCCAAGCCAAAACCGAGCTCCACGAGGAGCTAAACCAAGCCCTCAGAACAAGCTACAACATTTTCTAAATTAAATAGATTTTCTCATAGCATACATTTCAAGCCAGGGAAAGCCACAGGGAGCCAAAACCGAGCCCCCAAACATGCATAAAACAGTAAAATGCACTCTCTAACATTCATGAAAGGCCAAATAACCTCTCTAATATTTTATGCTAAATGAAAATAAGTGAAAAGCTTCTTAATACATATCCCAACATGCTTGCAAGAGGAGCTAAAATTATTTCTAAGCCACTTTTCAAGCTTCCTATTCACAATAATAGAACTATGTCACTGTTTTATCTCAAGCAAGTAGAGAGAAGGAGAACACTTATTTCATGCCATACTTCCACCGTTCTAAGCGAGTAATAAAATCGAACTCCTGAAACATGCTCATATTTCTATCCTTCACATGCTTTTAGAGTGAATGCTTCGAAATATATGAAAGTAAAGAAAACTAGCATGCTGTATCATCCAATAGAGCCAAGCTCAAAGGCTCGGCAGAGAGGAAAACCGAAAGGAAACAGGGCACCGAAGAAGAGGGTGGAAGAAGGGATACCTCTTTAATGCCAATGTAAAAGCACTGCAACACAAGAATTCACCTCAAAGAAATGCTCTCACAAAAATTCCCTTTCCAATCTCCTCACAGCCAAAATTTTAACTCTCCTCTTAGGAAACTTTTTCTCAACAACAAAAAAAAAATCAAAAGAAACTATGTTTATAGGCAGAGAAGAGAGGGGAAGAGACAGAAGGTCACCTCTTGAACCCACGACACTCGAATCGGGCCAAAGAAGAAAAGGACGTGCTCCCTGCTCACAGAAGGTGAAGCCACCGAAACATCTCGGACCGAGCTGCAAGCCCAGTAGCAGCGAGGGAAGCATCAGGAAGAAGAGAAGATTTTGTCATTCAAGTGTACCAGAGAACAAGCTTCCCAGAGTCAAACTACCAAGAAAAGGAAAACCACAGCCTAGGGAGACTGACACGTCTTTGGTAAGGAAGGCCGCGGGCAGAAGGATGTTAGACAAGGACGAACGGGGTCAACTTTCTCTCGCGTGGAGGAGGAGGAGCTCGGTTGGCTCGAGACCTAGAAAGGGAAAGGCCAGACACGCGAACGGGAGAGGGAAGAGAGGCAGACTCGGGCGCGTGAGTTTAGGGATTTAGTGTTTAAAGAGGAAAGGGGGAAAATGGTTTTATATATATATATATATATATATTAAATTATATGCGATTTATTCACGCGCGGCTTCGTAATAAAATGGGTGTCCTCCTTAGGCAAAATCGACGCTCCGGACGTGTCGGTGTAGTCCGTTTTGTCATCCGGGGTCGCTCGGACGACGTCGTCGACAATCGGGTCAAAAAACGCGTCAAAATTCAAATTACACAAAATTTTGACCCGCGATCGATCGCTTCAAAAGATTTATTCAAGCCTTCGACAGATAACAGTGCAAGCGATGTGAATCGTGGCGATCAGATGTATCGACTCTCCGAATTGCGAAATTTTGTGCGCGCGGGAGTGCGAATTGTGCAAAAAGTCACCCTAAGATTCAGGAAGGTCCTATAGGAATCCCTTTTGGGTTTCCTCATGTTGGTTTCATCCCTCTAAGTGCTAGAAATCGATACCACACACGCGAAACTTCAGAAGGGGACAAAAGTAGGTCGAACTTCTAAAATGAGGAAAGTCCCATTTCTAAGGTTCTAAGATAGTCAAAGGGAGATCTCTAAGGCTAGATCCTAAATCCTAAGAGAAGGACTAGACCTCACCAAAAATGAGGTCAACAATTGGCAGCAAAAGAAGTGGTAGAAGGAGAAAGATGGGGGACTAATGCAGAGGTAGGGAGTAGATCCTTGTGTTTTCCCTAACAACCCCATTTCATTTTCTATGTTCTTCTTTATCTCTTATTGTTAGTCATCACCTATGGGCTATGAAGGTGAGCATGAACCTAATTTGGTTGCCTTCATTATAACTAAAAGGAAATGTTTTCGATTTTTGAAAGAATCCTTGTACAATTTAGGGTAAAATTGAGTTTTTAAATTCTCCCTAAAATTTGAATTGACATTTTGCTCTTTTATTTTATTTTTAAAATTTTTCTAGGCTCTTGAAAATCTATGGATTATCCTATTGAACTCAATTAGAGCCTGAAATCATTTTCATATATTTGGAGACCAGTCTTTGAAACTTATGCTTCGTTTAAGAACGAGGCATGCCCCTGTTAAGTTGCACGGAACGTCAAAAATATTACTCCCATCAGTTTGGTACATTCTTGTCTCCCTACAGTGCGTCGATCACAAAGGTGTTTCACAGCCATTTTAGAACGTGAGATCGAAGCGGCTTCGAAGCTACTGCCCCTGCATTTTGCCATTTGGAAAACAAAAATATCCAAAATAGCCACTGCTGCCTCTGCTGCTACTCTTTGCATCGGTTCGGAATAGCTTTGCTCCCTTCGTCTCAAGGATGAAGAGCCGCATCTGCTGCCACCCTTTCTCGTCAGTCAGAATCGCTTGGCTCCCTTTGTATCAAGGATGAAGGACGGAATTTCTTTTCTCCCTTTGTCTTGAAGATGAATGCCGGACAATCAATTCCTATAATATCTCTGTTGATCCTCCGAAGGAACGCATACGACTAATATATGCTAATAATAATTATGTCTTCACGCAATACAAAAATATAGAAGTAGCAGTTGAATCTGAAATACTTAATTTGCAAATATGGAGATGAAATGAGTATTGACATAAGTCTCTCTGTAGTGCATCAACTGAATCGAAATCAGGCCTCCCAAATGTCTGTTATCTGTGCTTGGCTAGAACCGAAGGCAACAACTTGTGTCTTGAGGTGAATTACTCCTAGCTTTTCTAATAGATTGATACTGATGAAGTTGTATTTTGTTCGCTGGCTTGAGCTTTAGATGTGTGCTTCCTTACTATGGACAGAAAAAATTTCAGAACAGTTTTTCCCCTTGGGTACATTAAATTATGTTGTTGACCAGGCAAATTTTACTGTGGAAAACCTTAAAGAAGAGCTAGGCAGCTCTGATGCTTGCTGATCGATCTGAAGGAGAGGGATAAAAGAACGACGGGGGAAGAAGAGCAAAGTAGTCGCCGTACACATCTACTGCCGATCATCACGCCTTCTTTCTCGTTCACTCCATCGACATCGGCATTGTAGAAATGAAGTTGTTTGGTAGATTGTTGGGAAGGAAGGTGGAAGCTCCTGAATGGACATGCAATGGAGAGGGGAAGGGGTTAAAATTTTATTTTTAATTTTTAATGTGATTAAAATGGAGTTTAAACGCGAACAACAACTTCGTAGACAAACACAAATTTCTTCTTTTGGTCAAAAATTTTAAACAGCGCTTTTACATATTTAGCTTTTAAACCGACTTCCTTAAAAGCCAAAGCCTCCTCAAACAAACCCTTAAGTTGCTTGCGGATGTTATAATGTTATATCAATTTAGAATTCCTCCTTGGATGTGTTGTTTTATTCCTATATAGAGTACAAAAGGTTTTGGGATATTAGTCTGTTTGGCGAGAGATTTTTACTTGCGGATTCTGCACATACGGACAACCACTACGATACAACGGAGGTCTTTTTACTTTTTTTTATTTTTTCACCTCCGTTAATCTTAGCCGCTGCCCTTAGGCGCGTAATCCACACGTAAAAATTTTTCCCGTTTGGCAGGAGGTAGGTTTCTTTTATTTTTGGAAATACGTTTTTTGTGCCTTATATTTTCTGTGAGTTGATTTATGTTCAGGCTTTTTGCTGCTTGAACAAATAAATGTTAATCCTTGAGGGAAGTTGGTTTCAGAGAATTGGGAAAATGAGAAGTGTAACTTGAGCAAGATTGGCTAGGACTTTGATTGAATGAAAGTTTGATCTATTGTGATGTTTGAAGAAAGTGTTAATTACATGCATAGCACTCAAAACTTTGTTATTTACAAAATTAGCACCCAAGTCGTTTGTTTGAACTATTGAGCCCATGCATTTATGCCTGTAATGATCAAACCATTGGGATTTGGATAAAAATGTTAACTATGGATTAAGTTTTTATTATTTTGATATTTGGGTTAGAATTTGAAAAACAGATGAAAGAGGGTGCTAGGTTTGTAAATAACAAAGTTCTCAGTGCTATGTATAAAATAGTCCAGAGTATCTGCTATGAAGTATGAAACTTGATGGCATGGCCTACAGATTGAACTGCTTGAGAAAGTTTCATAGTAGTAGTTTTAGCAAATGCATCCAGCCTTTTCCTTTGAAGAGTATCTGTCCATCTTCAGTTCAGTAAGCCAATACACGTATGTCGAACCCTCCCGTGGACGCGAACCTGCTTTGTAATTCAGAAAGATATGGGATTTTGATAAATTTGTTCAAGTTAGTGATTTATTTTAGGGGCATTTACATAAATGGCACACAATTCTTGTGTATTTACATATTTCACGCCTAAACTTTCATTTTTATACACATACCACTCAAAATTTAATATCACATAAAAAATGGCACTATTACTATTTTTTAAAAGTTAAATACACCTTTTATGCATAGGTTTAAAGCACCAAAGTCTCATGTATGTAAATATGTAAGTTTAAATATGAGATATGTAAATACATAAGAATTGTGTGCTTCATATGCAAATTTCCTTCTATTTTAATGCCTACTTTACAGGCATATTCAACCTCATGGTCTAGTTCTGTTATTTAAATGATGATTGTGAAAGCCACTGTTTCCCAGTGTACTCAGTGGGGTGCTTTTAATGAGTTATTTGATATCCATCTCTATCATTAGCCAGTATCGTAATTGGATTCTTCCTTTCTTTTCCTTCTTTATTTCTAAAATTAATGTTGAACATTTATTTCATTTTTTTTAAAATAATTTTCTGTCAAATTTCTTCTTACTTTAGTCGACTCATTATAGCATGCTTTCTTTTTTTCCCCTTTCAGGATGATCATGTCGAAGCTTCTGAAGAACTCCCCAAAAAAACAAAATTATTTTTTGTTCATGCTGCAGACAGGTGGGATGCTGAGTTCTATGCTAAGGTTAACGACAATATTTATGTTAATATTGGTAAGAATTCCACCTTGTTTTTGCAGTTTGGCTCGGGATAAATGTGTGAGGATGATATTTCAATTTAATCCTTTAAGCTTTTTATTGTAATTCTTCAGCAATTGATAGGATAGGACGTCTCTTACTTGTATGTTTATGAACATAAGTAAAAATCAAAATTTCTGTTAGCATATTAGTACTAGGTGTTGATAAGTATTTCTAATTGGAATCTCCTATCTCATCTAACTAAGTAGGTAAATTTTACTTGTTTAAACCTTACTATCAAGCTAAGAATAGAATCTAAACCTACAGGAGAATCCATACTATGCATAATTAGTGATAAATTATTTTGCTGGATTTGAAACCTCATTTCAGGTTTAGAAAATGAAATATTTAAAATTATGATACTATTTATTTGCGAATAAATTAATATGCCTATTGTTTGGTGTACTGAAACAATTCCTCTTCAAATAAAATTTTATAGCTCTGGACATTAACTTTTCTTTAGACCTTTTTTTGTCTATTTTACATGCTGTCTTTTTTTTTTTGGCTAGCTGTAGTGTTTGAGATTCGATTGCAATTTCATCTCAGTTATTCCTGGCATGACTATTACTGGATTAATCAGTATGAAAAACCCATGAAGCAGTGATATTGGGGCTTGAGATGACTCAAAAGGGACATTAGATAATGGAAAAACTTGATAACAAAGAAGAAAGTACTCAATGTAGAAAAAATCATATATCAAGGATTATTAAATGTACACAAGTGACATTGTCAAATTAAAGAAGCAATTCTTTTCTAGTCCATCTTAATTTATTAGAATGAAATGAAAATATGACACTCAATAGGGCGCAATGGAGAAAAAGGATTCATGTAGCCGACCGCATTTAGTAGGATAAAAACTTGTTATTGATGTTGCTGCTGTTGATTCTTGTGAAAATCTTAATGATTATGTATATCAAGATTTGTCAAGGATTAAAAGAGAAGAAGTTATTACAAATTTGATTATGCATATATCATCGGCACATGAAGGTTTAGCTTTAAGGTGTTTCTTCCTACACTATGTCATGCGTTTGGTGTAGGAATCTAATTGAGCCATGCCAAGTTGAATATATTATAGATTTGTTAGTTGTGGAGTCTAATTGTAGCGCCCATGAGCAGCGGACAGGCTGGCTTCCACAGAGTTCGTGCACCCGACGCCAAGGCGTCGGGCTATGGGCGCTTAAGCGCGCCCCTTGAGTGTTCCCAGATTGAGAAGGTGAAAGTTTTGTGCCCAAACTAGGCGCCTAGGCGCCCACTTCTGACGCTGGGGCGCCTGCTTCTAGAGAATAGGGCTCTCAAGTGTTCAGAGCAGTTTTCACGATAACTGCTATTTATGTTACAATTTTGGGCAGCATATGTGTGGGCTTAGAACGCAACTTTTTCCTGTTTGTTCATCAACAAAATCCTTGTGAATGTGAGAAGTGTTGGTGAAAATGATCTTGGTGTTTTTCGACATGGGTTTTCGTCAGATCAGTAGGAAGAGTATGAAGTAGTGCACTGTAAGTTGCTTCGTGTGAGTGTGGAGAAGAAACTTGTGTGAATCCTTTGTAAAACTCTTTGAAATTCATAGTGAAATTTGTGGTGATGCGGCTCCATGATTTTTTCCCGTTCTCGGGTTTTTCCATGTAAAATTCTCATGTTCTTTTCTAGTTATTTTTTTATTGTGCTTTTGGTTTAAATTTATTTTTTCAATTTTCTTGAATCTTGTAATCCTATTTCGCTGTGACATTGAGAATTGTTTGGAGGATTCTCAACAGGATTGGATATGGTTTGGTCATATTATAAATTGTTTATGTTCGGATTCAGCTTGAGTTGTGCTTTTACATTTATGCTTATCATTGTCTTTTTATTTTTTTTTCATGATCATATTCGGATTATACTAGATTAGCTGAAATTAATAGAATGAATGCTTAAATAAGCTCTTAACAAAATTAAAAATTAAATGAGTACTTGATTTTTCATTTTAAAAAGTATTTTCTTAAATCAAAGCGAATGAGTAATTTAATAAATTTGAAATTAGTTTATAATTACTTTGCACTAATTTAATAAGAAAATAAATAAGTGACGAGAAAACTTTCTTTGAAATCATTTAAAATAAATAAGTATCAACAAACTTGTTCATTAAAATAGAAAAATGAAAAATGGATTAAATTAAATCTATACCGACATTCACTAATACGGGATAAAATTATTTTGAAAAAAATAGAAAATTCAAAGTTCAATATGATTAGTTACCTTGATAAGAAATAATATCCAAATTCATTTATAACGGATTAAGATAATAATTAAATTCTAATTAAATTAATTAAAGTTTCTAAAAAAAATATTATTGTCTCGAAATTTAATCTTATTAATATAATTTTTGCAGTTCAATATTCTTAAAAAATATTAACTTTTATAAAAAAATATAAATATATTTTAAATTATTTAATACAATTTTGATATTTATATAATTTAAATATAGTAAAACAAATATGTGATTGATAATTCATTCTAAATTATAATATCTTACTCATATAAGTAAATAAAGTTGTTGCATTTAATTAAATTGATATAAATAATAAATAAACTATCATTTTGGGTTAATATCAAGCACTTAATAAGTTTTTTTATCGAAAAACAAAAAACTTAGTTTGTAACCTTAATTAAATGAGTTGGATTGTGTTCAAGCTTGATTCATTAGCTTTCAAGTTAAAAAAAAGAAAAATATTTTATTTAATTACTAATTTAAACAAACTTAAACGATTATTAATTGATCCAAGTTCGAGAATAACCCACCAAATAGTTATTCACAAGTCTTCTTATTAACAATGGTTGAGATTTCAAGATAGGATGAGAGAAGATATTGCAAATTTGACGCTACATGGGTCATTGTCACATGGTGTTTAATCTTAGGTGTTTCTTGGTGCACAAAATGTCCTGGGTTTGTTGGGAAGTTAATGGAGAATTTTACTTTATTTTTCATTTTGATGCCATTCCTAAACTATCCCGGGGGCTGTCAATGGAGTTAAGAGATGGGTTTGGAGCCATATAAATGCCAAGTCATTATTTCTCTAGACATGCAATTCTAAAGAACCATTATTTTGATCCTATGAGGATTGAGGGTCAGAAACATATGTTTTGACTCATCATTGTATTTGTTTTTATATTAACTCAATGCTGTTTGCTATTTTTTTATAGATGGTTTTGGAGCAATGCTTGCATCTTATGTGGACAAGCCTCGTGTTTATATTGGATGTATGAAGTCCGGTGAAGTTTTTTCTGAGTTGTAAGTGTATTGTCTGGTTTTGTAAAGTATCTTCAGTATGATTGTTTATGGATGTTCATTTGTTGTTTTGTTGATTTATTCTTGACTGCCTCATTGTTGTAGGAGCCACAAATGGTATGAACCAGAATGGTGGAAATTTGGTGATGGGAAATCGTAAGTTACAATCTCTGATAATCTTTTTTTGCTTATTTATATATTGGAAAATGAGTAAAGTGCTAACAGTCTTTGACTATTTACATGGGGCAATATTAGTCATAGAGTTTATAAAGGTTTTACACTAGTTCCCGGACTGTTTTAGTAGTGGCTAAAACTGTCCTCACTAAGGATTATTTCAACCCATATTAAGCAAATTGCGGGTTTGAATTGCACTTTTATAAACTCTGGGACTAAAGTGGCTCCAAGAGAAAAGTCAAGGAACTTTTTTGACAAATTTCACATTGGGAAGTTTAGATACATAGCACACAATTCTTATGTATTTACATATCTCACACCTAAGAAATAAAATTTTGAACAGGAGCAACTCTTTTATCCTTGAACATTATGATGGGATCTAGTGATAAACCTCATAATGCTTTCAACTGAGCTATGGCATGTACAACGGAGGTTAAGCTAATTGACTTTTATCACATGGGAGCATGTCACTTGTATGGATTTTGATGAAATTTATCAAAATTTAAATAATGATTTGTCTTTAAGATTGAAGACGATTCTCTTATGAATACTTGTCTTTATATTCGTTATTTATTATTTAGGATTTTCTTATTTTAGGATTTCATGTTGAGGGTGTCGTTAAACATTTTGAAAGAGATCAGTCTCTTGCAGTGATCGAGGATAAGAATTTATGTATGAATTTGAAAAAAATTGTAGTCCAAATTATTTCGTGATGTTGAATTTGTCACAGCCTACTGAAGTAGAAAATAGACTAATGTTAGATACAAATCTACCAATTTCATATAAACCCTAAAAGGATTTAGTATGAATTACTTGTTAGCTTTATTATGATCGAGAAAAAATGATTTAATTTTTGTAGTGACTGATTAATTTCAAAAATGATGCACCTCGTACTAAATCATTAAACTATTGTGGCTAAAAAATGATGCACTTCATACTATATCATTCAAATATTGTTGCCTGTCACATTGCAAAGTATATTTTAATGAAGTGAATACTATGTCATTAAACTATTGTTGCTAAAAAATTATGCACTTCATACACATTAAACTGTTGTTGCCTGCACATTGCCAAAATATATTTTAAAGAAGTGATTAAATACGTGGTTTATTTAAAACATTTATTTCATATCACGATGTTAAGCTAATGAGTTATTTTTCATAAATTCTTTAGAGGAATTAGGAATCTAATTTAAAATTTAATTGCTTGTCACTCCTATATTGACGGTCAAACATATGCGATTAATATATGTTTTAGGCATGTGGTATTTTTGTTTGATAATATGCGATGCATTTTATTGTTATTTGATGCTGCTTATGGAGTTTGCATATAATTCGTTGTTTAATAGATCTATGACATGAGGATATTAATTGAAAATTGGCTTCTAATTATGATAATTATTGATGTGAATGAGATGTATGTAAAATTTAAGCATTTTGATAAGATCATGGTTGTGACATCACGCCTATAACTAGAATGATTTCTATCTGAACATTTCAAAAATTAAACATAAGGAGGAGAAATTATTTAAAATTATGCAACACATTGGAACTAATGCATACAAAATGAAAATTCTAGAAAATTTTGGTTTTAGTTTAGTTTTCATTATATTAGATTTGATCTTATTTCTTGAGCTTTGTATCAATTTATTAGATTTTAATCTCTTTTTCTTTTTTTTGAGGCTACATCCAACCCTCTGAGAAATACTTTTATGTAGCTTGCTAAGGCTATTTTACATGATGAGATTATATCTACTATTCATTTTGGTAGATTTCAGAAAAATCTTGTTCATTCGCGTTGTAGAAATCCTTCTGTTGAAATTATTGATTATTTTGTATCGAGCACAAAATCTATATCTTGATTTGCTTAATGAGTATCAAATTCTGTGCATAATTTGTTCCAGTCAAGTAGATCTGATGGATATCCTTACATTTTTCTAAGTAGAAGAATCTCTACAAACATTAACTTCTGCTCCGTTACAATTTTGCACCTAACTAATACTTATCTGCGAGTTGAGGGACGTTGATGCAGCCTTATAGTTTAATGGGGACTTCATTTTGGTTTCCAAGCCAATGTGTTTCGGCATTAATATCAGTGATTGTCTATCTATATTCAAGAGGGAAGAAGATGATGGGAAAAGGAGGAAGATGAAATACGTAAAAAGATCGCTTTGCTTGTTCCCTTTTATCGATATTAATACCTTACATAAAATTCTGTATCATATAAATATGCACTTACATCAAGTTTTCGAACTTTTTTTTTTTTTTTTTTGAGAAATTTACATAAATACCGCACAATTCTTATGTATTTGTATATCTAACATCCAAAGTTTAATATTTACATTTATAATACTTTGTTGTTAAAACCAGTGAATGTAAATTTGTATTTCTCCTTCAAGAAGTTAATAATAATGGTACTTTTGATTTATTGTCAAAGATTTGAATAGTAAGCATGTAAATATGAAAGTTTAGATGTTATATATGTAAACTTATAAGAGCTGAGTGGTATGTACGTAAATGCGCACGCCAACCACCTCCCCACCCCCTTCCCTAACAGCCCTAACAGTCAGTTTTTCCATTCTCCCAAAGGGAGGAAAGGTAAACAGTGAAACAAAAATAACCCAATTTTTGCGAAGCAGATTTGTAATTCTTTCATGTTAGATTTTACCATTTTTTTCCAATGGTGTTGGATGTTATGAAGTGTGTGATAGTTATGTATTTATTCTCTAAATTCTGCTAATTTCTACCAGTGTCACGTTTTTTTGATTTTTGGTTACTTCTTATCGTTTATTTTTCAATGTTATATTATTAGCTGAAGAAAATCTTTGTTGCAGGTATTTCCGCCATGCGTCTGGTGAGATTTTTGTCATATCTAGAGCTTTGGCCCAGTTTGTCTCTATAAACAGGTAGAACCCTATTACCATTCACCCTATTCAATTGTAACATTTTTAGAATTCAATCGGATAAGCCAATAAAAGGAAAAATTCAAAGCTCTAAGGTCCAATCCAAAATCAACCTAGATTTTAACCATATTATATAAATATTATTAAAATCAATTTAAATTATTTAGATGATATACTCTTTTAATAAGAGCAAAAGCTCAAAAGAGTCCCCCAATTATCAACAAGTGACCAATTAACTTATGGGGTTTTAAAATGCTTCAATTCAGTTCCAAATTAGTCCCTAGACTGAGTTTCATGATTAGAGTTAATACCAACTGTTAATTTTGAAAGTATTTTTGGAATAAAAAATTTATATAAATCTTTATTTTATTATTGTTGTATTTTCATATGTAATAGATTATTAAATTTATGAATAAGGATAAATCTTTATTTATTTAAATAAATACACAAATATAGTCACTTCTCTTTAAGGAATTTGAAACCTTTATCAATAGAATCAAGATTGGTTCAAAATTGGAAGAATTTATTACTTGAATAAATAAAGTAATAATAAAATACTTA